ATTTTGTTGCAGAGTTCTTGGACATGAGAAACCTGAGCAATACCATTTTCAATGCAAAAGTTTTGAAAATGATGGTTAACGAATTATCCACCATGATCACTATTGAGAGTGATGATTTTAAAACCAAAAGTTTTTTTAACAACCTTAGCAAAGTAAAAAAAAAAAAAAAGCTTTAAAAGTATCATCCTTACGGGCTAAAAACAACTTCCACATAAATCTAGAGTAGTCGTTAACAATCACAAATTTTTAATAGTTTCCTCCTAGACTTCTTGTCTGTGAAGAGGCAAACAAGTCCAAATGGAGAAGCTCAAGAGGTTTTGATGTGGAAATAACCTTCTTCGGTTTAAACGACACTCTTATTTGCTTTTCCATTTGAAAAACATCATGCAATTTGTCTTTTAAAAACTTTATTTTAGGAATACCAACTAATAGATTATGGATGTTATTATTTAGCAATTCAAAATGCACGTCACTTAAATGTTTATCCCATAACCAAGAATCTTCATTCTTAACTACTAAACACTTAGTCCCATGCATTGATATATTATCCAGATCAAGCATATGGATATCTTCAATTCTAGAACCCTTAAACATAAGGTCCTTACTAGTCTTATGCTCAATTACACAACTAAGAGCACAGAAAACAACGAAATACCATTTGTCACATTATTGGCAAATACTTCGAAAGTTGATTTTAAGCCCTTTCACTAACAACACATTTTCAATGGTAATTGTGGAGGTGTTTCTCATAATACCTTCACCAAGAATTTTACTGTTTGTATTGTCTCCATACGTGATGTAATCACTTTCCTTCTCATCAAACTTAATTAACATAGAAGCATCTCCCGTCGTGTGTCTTGAACAGCCGCTATCTAGAAACCATAATCTTTTTGCGGAGGAAAGACTTTCCTGTGACAAATTAAATATGTTATTTAGATCCCTAACTAGTGGGTCCTTTAGGGTTAGTTGAGTTACATTTAGGAATCCATGTCATTTTAACGCACTACTATAATAAGCACATTTAACGTTAGACACAAAATGCATTTAACCTCGACTACAGGGCGAGGTAACGAAGGGTGTCATCATAAATTCACACTTTACTTCTCAGTTTTAGAATAAGTTACGAGCATATGAAATGGTCATGGGTTCGAACCCCAGGGAGACCTTTTTGAAAATTTGAAATGGAGAAAACACATGTACCATCGGTTTTTTTATTTCATCGACGGTTATACAATATTCACCTGGTTATCTAATAAAATCGACGAGTAAAACGATTTTGAGCTTATTAAATCTAATGTGGATTACTTATTTCACTAAACCCGATACTGAATATGTAACTTCAAAAAATTGGTTAGAAAAATAATTATATGAACAATTGTGTAATATTTGAAGAACATCTTACATTGGTTATGATTTTGAAGCATCGTATAACTCATCTTTCTTCTCACGGTGTTTTATGGTTAAAATCTCTCTAATGTTTCAAGTTCTTTATTCAACACTTCCTTTTCTACTAATTCATTTTTAAAAGCATAAAATTTGATGCTTTAAAATATGAACAAATATGGAAGAAAGTTGAGCAAAAACTAGAAGTTGGTCTTACATAATACTTACGTAGGACCTAATGAACAAATCGTTATTAATGAACAAATGATATAATACAATGGAAATTAAAAACCTTAGCATTCAAATACTAAGAAGTTAAATCCAAGAGTGTGTGTGTGTGTGTGTGTGTGTGTGTGTGTGTGTGTGAGAGAGAGAGAGAGAGAGAGATGACACTGAGATTTATAGTGCTTTGGCGTTCGTCCTCGCTTTGCCTACGTGCATTCTTCAATGGGTTCCCATTGGAACCTGCATAGTTTCTTGTTATTTAAAAAATATTTTCAATATTTCATACAATCACCAATCCATAATACAGTTGAGAAACTAAATCTCCTATATAGATCTTGATTTGTATGCATCACACTTACCAAACTCTTCTATGTAATCTTTAATCGAATTACGTTTCTTGAATCTTTCATTATCACCAAATTATGCTTCAAGCCTTTGTGTGTAGCAATCAACCCCTTGATCCTACCGATTCCTTGAGCAGTGAAATTTTTGGAAGATCTAACAAGAACTCTACCTTACCTGTAGCCTTCCACACAGTAACTACTAAGGCAAATCTAGAGAGAAAAACTTACTTCTTTTCAATAAAATTTGTCACCATCATTAACAATCACCTCGATCTTACTAACAACCTGAAACACTCAACAAGATCTCTAAGAACGATTAGTTTCAAGGATGTGTCCCCTTTAATCAATTACAAAACTTTTGTTACAGAGATCTAAACTCAATCAAAGTTGAAGATGCAAGAATTTTGTTGCAAGACTTTGAACACTAAAAACAGAGAAAATTGATTTTTCACTAAAATCCCACTAAAAATTATGATCAGAATGACATATGTATGATGAGAAATGAGGACAAAAAGCTTTTACATGTGCTTGAGATTAAGCACACAAAATGGATGAAAAAGTCAATTAGATTCGAATCAAGAGCAATCTATGATTTGAATCAAATGAGCAGGTGTAGTAGAATAAAAGAAAACCAGAGTTTTGAAAATTTACCCGTTGATTTGAATCATGAGCCATGTGATTCGTATCAACTGCAAAAATTGATTTGAACCAAAGGTTACAACCTTAACAGAAAAATTATTGAAAAAGTGAATGATTTGAATCATGTACGAAGTTTTATTCGAACCAAATCAAACAGAATTGCTCACCATGAAAATGATTCAGATCAAATACAAAAAAAAATATTTCGAATCAAATTAGTTAGTTTTGCTTCTATCCAATTTGACCAGGATAAAAAATTGTCTGTAAACTTATTAATTTGAATCAAACATGTAAAATCTAAATTTATCAAAATTTTAAAGGTATTTTGAGATTTTAATTCAAATCAAACTTAACCCATTAAAACATAAAATGTTTTCATTTCACTTACACATACAATTGATCAAAGAGCATCATGATTAAAATCAAATCTAACCATAGTTTTATGCATGCTAAAAAATGAATATTTTCAAACTTAATTCCGAGAAGTGAAATCATGAAGGAGACTCGACAAATCAAAATTTAAATCAAAAATGAAAGCGATAAGATAAGAAATAAAATAATTAGATATAGACGTTCCGCTGAGTAAACTAGAGACATACAACTACAACATATTAAATACTCAAATGATAAGGACAATCCAGATATGCATATTCAGACAGCACCAAACTTCGTCCAGAGATGTATATGCGAATTCAACATTCTTTTTTCAACTCAAAATACAGATTGATGCAATGAATGAAGGATGAAATTAATGAACCTTATATGCAATTCCAACTTTTCTTACTCCCTTTGATATGATGACATACAAGAATGGTGTTTTGGTGTTGAAAAGTCGAGTGAGAATGAGAGAAACCTTTAAAGTGTTTTGAAAATGGAGGTTCTTTTCAACATGAAGAAGAAGGTCATGCATGGTTGTGTTGTATCTAATTTCCTGATTGACATTTCGAGATATGTATCTTCCGAAATATCATTGAGTTGTTAATCAAATCAAATCACTGAAGAAAAAAAAAACATCCAAATAAATACATGAGGTATTTCGGAGATGCATCTCAAGATACACCAAAATAATTTACAGACATCCATCTCAAGACCATATTATGTTCAATATGGGGTGGACCTCAGAAAAAGAAGTCGGGTGTGAGTTTTTGTTCGTCCGAATATGCATTTCTGAACACATAAATGAAATTTTTAGATTTTCAGAAGTATGAGATGCACACATAAGAATGTAATGAGCCTCCCCCAAAAAATACGTAAATAAGTTCACCAAGTCAGCTTACTTAACCAAACGATCCAAATGCATGTTCACCGATTTGAAAAACAAATATTTACTTATAGTTTGGTTCGAGTCAAAATTTAGAATCAATATACCCATTCGTAACAATTTTTTTAGGCAAATTTGTTTATATCCTTTAGTTTTAGTTGAGTGACCCTTAGTTTTAATTGATTTAAGATTTTAATTTTCTAAAAATAAAATAATATTAAAAAATAATGTGACATTAAATATTCTCATTTCATTGGAGGAATGTATCGGTACCAGATTTAATTTAAGGATATCCAAGTATTCAATTTTTTACTTCTTCTGTTCCACAATCAGGCACACATTTGAAAGAAAATAGTTTTTTAAAATGAATGATCCATTTTAATTTCGAATACATCTTTTTAATTTTATTTTTTTATTAATATTATTTTTATCATTTTCAATACATAATAATGATACCTTAATAAAAATATATTTTCTCAGTTTCATTTATTTATTTTAATTAATGTGAAATGATGAATTGAAATACTCATTTTATAATGGAGAGAGTAATGTTTTAGTTATTTTAAACGCTCTTTCTTTTTATTTTGCTATGAACCTTTGTAGTCTATATAATAATTTAACGTTTAAAAATTGTAAATAGTTTATAAGTGGTTTTTTAATAATTTTAATTTATAAAGAAAACTATGTAGTGAAAATATAGGTGAGAACTAAAATGCTTAATAACATACATATTTGAGAATATAATAAAGACCAAGTAAAGAGACATTTACGAATGTCCTTTGAAACTTGGACACACTTAAAGTTATAATACTTCTTACATTCAGAAACTACATAGACTTCACTGTTTTTTTTCCTTACGTATATAAAAAATATTATAAAGGTGTTTAGATTTTTTGGAATGCAGCTCCACGAGGCAGCACGAGATATCAAGTGTTGACTAGAAGTACTATCATTTCAAAACTGTCACTTTCAGATAATAGCAAGTAGACAAGATTCAATTAATACATATTAGCTCCTTCTCAACTACCAAGTAATGGTTCCGTATTGATTCCTACTTCCTTACATTATAAATAGACCAAATTTTCTTACTATTTTTCTCATCCTTCACTACCAAATTTCACATTTCAATTGAGCTTGAGTTGAGTACAATGGATTCCAAAATAGCAATTCTCATCCTTGGCCTAATGGCCATGGTTCTTCTTATTTCTTCAGAGGTGTCAGCTAGGGACTTAACCGAGACTTCAACTAATGCCAAAGATGGTAAATTATGTTTTTTATTTTATTCTTTAAAATATGAGTACATGTGTTGTTTAATAATTAAATTCACAGAATAATGTACATGCAGAGGTTGTTGACAAGTCAGATGAATTAAACGATGCCAAATATTATGGTGGAGGCTACAACCATGGTGGCGGCAGCGGTTACAATGGTGGTGGAGGAGGCTACAACCATGGTGGTGGTGGTTACAATGGTGGTGGAGGAGGATACAACCATGGAGGTGGCGGTTACAATGGTGGCGGAGGAGGTTACAACCATGGAGGCGGTGGTTACAATGGTGGCGGAGGAGGATACAACCATGGAGGTGGTGGTTACAATGGTGGCGGAGGAGGTTACAACCATGGAGGCGGTGGTTACAATGGTGGCGGTGGAGGATACAACCATGGCGGTGGTGGTGGTGGTTATCGTGGTGGAGGTGGACATGGTGGTGGTTACAACGGTGGTAACTGATTATATCATTATGCATGCAAGTATAAAGTGTAATAAATAATGTTGGGTGATCAACAAAAGAGTAAAGATAAATCAGAATGTATATGTGAAGATGAGTTTGATTTCGAGTAAAAGTGGTGAATGTCTTATCATATGTAATAAATCAAATATCATTGTTGTTAGTACTTTGCCTCCTTTTATATCTATAAAAATCTACGAAAATTCGTCCATGAATTGACAGAACAAGCAAATGTTAGCATAAGGTGAGACTAAGAAATTGAAATTGCTTCATGCATATAAAATCTTAGTAAAGAAAATCATTGTATAAACCATAAACATAATCAAGAAATTTTGTTTCCCTGAGATGGACATAGCCTCCATGGAAATACACGGCACCATTTCATATACAGATCCAAAAATATTCAAAAGTTAGACATGCTCACTACTAAAAAATTCGTTTTTAGTAGTTAAAAAATTTTGGTCATATTTTAGTGACCGAATTAACCATTAATATTAAATATTATAATGTTAACAAATTTTTGTGATCAAAACTTTCAGTCTCAAATAATTATTTTTATATAAATTAATTCATAAATAAAATTCATTGACCGAAATTTCGGTCACTAATATTTTTTTCATTATTAAATTACTTCTCTCTTAATTTTCTCTTTTTTCTATTTTAGTCAAAAATTTATATTTTTTATTGTTTTAATAAATAAAACATATATTTATATAAATAATTAACTCATACAAATTTATTAATTTAAATAAAATATAATTTTATAACAAATAGTGTAATAATTTTTTTAAATAATATTTGAATTTATATTTCACTAATAATATATATATATATATATATATATATATATATATATATATATATATATATATATATATATATATATATATATATATATATATTTTAAATGTAAATTAAGTAACTAAAATATAATGGTATAATGGACACGCCAAAATCTTACAAAAGAAAGAGCATTAATTCAATTTCTGAAAACAAAACTTAGAATAATAGTAAAAGGCTTAACCTTTTTAAGCCACACTATTATTGTCAAACGGGTAAAAAATCGTGGCTTAAAATAAGAAAAAAGCCATTGATTTAAAATTATTGTTTAAAATTTATGCCTACACTATAAATTGCATAAAAAAAATTGAGCTCTATTATATTATAGGCAACACATTAATCACAGTTAAAAGTAAACTTATAGCATGTTCTGATTAGCCGTGAAAAAAGTAGGAAACGTGCATGTAGAAGTGTGATGGGTGAAAAAAACACTTATCTAAACAAATTATTAATAAATATTTAGGTACCTTAACTTAATTTAAGATTTTATTATTTTTTTAACTAATAAGCTATTTATTTTTATTCTCTTAAAACTGTTATGTTAGTCAAATTTATTTTTTTATTAAATTTTATTTAAAAAAATTATTAAGTTGTGTATACGTGACAACCTCGTTAAAATTATGTTATTTGACATGATTTTTTTATATTATTATTATTTTGAAATTATTATTATTTTAATCAAACACCACACTGAACCCTAATATGATTCATTTTATTTCGTGATCAAACCCCCTAAATCTGTTCTTTGTTTATTAGCTCGTCCTCTTGTACCCCATTTAGATACAAGTCTTTGAAACTTCTCAAATTCATTATAGATAATCACCAATTTTTGATTTATATGGTTTCGAAGATATTTAGCAAATGTATGGTTTAATTAATTTTTATTCCTTTAAATAAATATGTTTTATGTTGATTTTATTTTCATTTTGATGGCCATCAAATCATTCACTATTATGTTTATTTTGATTTTAAGATTCTTCAATGAGTTTGAATAATCATATTCGAGTATTGTAAGACCTGTATATTTTATTATTTATTCTATTTAAATATTTTATTATTGTTAAAATTTAAAAGTGAAAAGAGTATTTATTTTCCTTATTATTTATTTTACAAATTTAAAAGAATAAATATTTTTAGTGTGTGATTAAATATAACAATTATTGTCTTATTTATTTTATTTCAAGTAATCCTATTTAGATTTAATTTTAATAGAGATGAGCGAAATAATTATTTATATTATATTTTAAATTTCATAAATATCATTTTGATGATATTAGGTTTATTAGAAAATAGTTATTTAGATTTATATTAGGAAAATGAGTTACAATTTAATTTAGGAGGTGTGTTTAAGTATATTGGGTTACACTGAATTTGGGTTTAAGAACTAGAAATCCATTTAAGTTCACACCTACAATCCAAGAAGAGGGAAAGAGTCCGTTTATTTTGTCTTTTTAAAAAAAACGATTTTTATAGTGTAATATAATTTTGTTGAAATTTTTTTTATAAAGAAACCTTTTATAAAAAATTTCAAATGGTAATTTGGTTTGAATAGTTATTCTTAAAATGTTATTTTAGATATATCAACATTTTATCAAAAAAAAAATTGTATATCAAAATTTCAAAAAATCACTTAATTTTCAAACTATTTCTAATAGCTTTTCATGAAAATCATTTTTGAGATACTACTTTTTTCAAATATTGTGATTTTGACTATGTTTTGATATTCAATAATGTATGTTTATGTTGTATATTGTCAAAATTAGTCTTACAACTTAGATAAAATAAAAATACAAAAACTTGTAATGTCTTAAAAAACAGGTTTACAAAATTCATTTTTGAAAATACAAAGAAAAAATTTATTTTTAAAGCTAAAGCAAACAGACCCAAAGAGAACTACAATCTTGTTTTCTTCCTCTATTTTTAAAGTGTGTTTTCTTCCCCCATAAAATAAATTGTCGCCGCTGCACTTCTCCACTCTGTCTTCGACCACCTCCACCTCCAATAAAAAAAATCAATACCATATTTGAACTCCCCAGTATGAGACCTTTTTAATGGACATGTTGGATTTTCTAATCCGAACAACTTATCTGTCGACCACCATTCTCTGTTTTCGGTCGTCGCATCTCTAAAAGAGAAAACTACCATCTTTGAGCTCTCTTTCATGCGAGCTTTCATGGACCCAAGCAAATTTTGAATTGAAGCTGCTCGGTCGAAATACCTTCTCTTTTCCGTGAAAATCTTGGAATGAATCTCCGCGTCAGACCAGAATGAGCCACCGCGCCAGACTTGCTCAGGCAGTTGTGAACATCATTTTTCTCCTAAAGTAATTATTCTTATTAAACTCCTCTAGTAAATGTATTATGTTAAAAAATTATTGATTTCTGTTGAAACCCTAATTCCTCTTTTCTCTAAATTTGAAATTAGATATGATTGATTTGACATTCTTGTTACTTGCAACCTTTCTAATGTTTTTTAAAACCTTTAACCTTAATTTTGATTTAAAAATTGCAATCCTTGTTCTTGCCGAAATCTGAAAATGTGTAATGCTTTGTTAAAATAGTTTAACAAGAATAGTTTAACCAATCCGTATTCTGATTATGTGTAGAAATTCATAAACCTCTAATTTTCAATTAAAAACCTCTAACATTCATTTTCTCAAAATCTGAAATTGGATATGAGACTCTTAAATTTTGTTGCAAACTTGTGTTAACTTTCGTCTTTATTTTTATTTGGATTAGAAAGACTATAACTCTCAACTATCTATGCAAAATCCTAATTTTTCTTTTTCACTAAAGTAGCATTCTTAAACTTTTCAATTAGTTAAAATTCGAAACTTCCCCATTTGTCTCAAAATCCAAAAATAAAAAAAATTATATTCTGCTGCTAGATTTTGTTGCACAAAATTGATTAATTTAATCTTTGATTTATTTGGAAGGATTTGAAAGAATTAATATTTTTTGTTTTGAAAATAGCTTGAAAAGTTTTGGAGATTTTTATTTGATGTTCAAACTCCTATCTCTTTCAAGTCACAATTTAATTAGAAAATAGTTTGAAAAGAATTAATATTTTCGCTTTGAAAGTAGTTTGAAAATTTTGGATTGATATTAAAATCTTTAGTGTTGGTTAATTTGATCGGTGTCTAGTTCTGACCGTGTTTGAGTTGTTTCTTCTCTATGGGAAATTGTGTGGCTGACTTATTTTCATCTTTATGGCCGCGGGACATAAAGACAGGTGAAGGAGAGTATATTGGCATAGTTGTGGGATCAAAAGACATGAGGAGTCATCATTGTGTTTGGTTTCAAATGTGACATTGAGAGTTAATGTTCATCCAAGGAATGTGTGGATTTAAGTACGAGAAACATAAACTGTGCAACTGGGAAGAAAAATATCGAAGGTAAATGCACTTCCTCATACTTTATAACAAGACTATAAGTTAGGTATTATAGAATAAAAAGATATAATACATAATTGTTTTGAAAAGAAAAGAGAATTGAAATATAATTATATGCAATATAAATAATAGTTTTATATATTGTGTCCTTTGGTATGATGTTGTGATGTCGATGAAAATATATTTTATTAATTATATTATTTTTATTATTATGTATGGTTGTGATGTGAATAAAATGAATTGTCTTGGTTGATTATGATTGGAGATGGATTATTTGGTGAGAAATAAATTTTAAAATGATTTGTATTAACGAGAGTTTGTGAAGTTTGTGAAAGGTATATGCATTTTATGGCATATGCATATTTTTCCTATTTGGTAGATTGCCTATAGCATGATATGAAATATGCATTTTTATATGTTGTCTTAGTGGTAGGTTATTTTTTCCAATGATATGAAATGAATTATGTGTGGTGCCTTAGTGGTGTGTTGATTATATTCGAATCATATAGTTTTAAGAGCGTGTATAATCATACTTAAAGATATTTGTAAAATAATGTTTTTTGTGAATTTTATTTATTTTAAGCTATTATGTTTTGTATAATTTGTTTTATAATATTGTACTTGTTCTGGCCTGGGCCCTGGGCCCCGGTCTGGCCACGCGGGCCCAGCCCAATAATATTCCACCAAGCCCAGTCCACCTTGGGCCACAACGTCGGGCACAGGGTCCCCGACGAGCAGGATAGATCTCCCCGCGAGAAGGTCCTACCCCAA